ATCAGGGCTGTGAACTCCCAGCCTCTGTCCTGGCACAGCATGTGGTCGCTGGGGCTGTGGTTCATTCACAGCCTCCAGGTCTCACTTTCCCGTTTTCTTCAGCATATTCAAGAGACAGCTAAACTGCTCTCTTCTGAAATGTCACAGCACTTGCCTCAGCTGCTGTTCAGGGCCCTCAGTAGCTCCTGTCTCTTGCCACAACCACCTCAAGTTCTCATCCTCATCTTGGCAAAATCAGAACTGCACCGCTTGAACCATCCTTCAGCCTATGATTAGTCAAAACACCTCCAAAACGAACACATGAACCTTCAGAGTTTAATAGCCATCAGTTCCCTCAAGAAAACAGTGGCAAGATCCAAATGGAAGATGTGTTTGGGGAAAAGACGTTCTCTGATCTCATGGACAGTCGGGGCTGTCTGCATACCTTTTGGTTCACATCATCTGCTTTCCTCAGTAACACTCTACTCTTCTTTCCCTCATGCTGAAATATAAAACTATATCTTCCCACAGCTCCATAGTACATCCCCTCACAGCACATGTCTTTGCCAAACTGAAGAATTTTTAGGGCTGGGCCTGCCTTTTCATCACCTGTTAAGGGCCTAATACATTTTTGGGCACGGGAACTACAATTTTTGTAAAATGATCTTGGATATTCTGTTAGACCAAGTTCAAGTTCCATGTTCCCACTTTCAGTTTTACTGGGGTCATAGCTGGATTTTCACATATGACAGCAGGATCTCCCCTCATTCTTGTCCTGATAAAGAACAATCATACAGGAAGGGTGAGGAAAGTAAAGTTGAACTCATGGCTTCAGCTGGAAGGCATTCTGGATGAAAAGTTGTGGATTAAAAACCACATTTTATTTGTAGCACAGAGTAACAAGCAAGAAAAGAGTAAGAAAAGAAGAAAAGATGAAACAGTATAGAAAATTATGCAATCTGCTAATTTCAGACAAAAGTATGAGCTAATTAAGATAGTGATCCCCAGTTAATTGCCCCCTGAAATTCGAAAGTGTGTCTCTAATTCAAACGAGATGCTTTGTTGACTAAATACTCGGTTCCTTTTGCTCCTCATCTCCACCAGCTGTAGTATCTCAAATGGAATAGGATGAAATCAGTTTAAGAAAGATTTGGGAATGTCTCTCTAGAGGGGATGGGGATCCCTGCACGTTCACTTTTACAGGGTCTACCTATGTAAGCATATTCAGGAAAATTCACCTGAAATAAGTAAAGTTGTGTATTTAATGCAGACTCCTAAAAATTGTGTTCCTGTTTAGTTTGTAAACTAAAAAAATCAAGTGTTCATCACTCAATTTAGGTTAAATTACTCTGGAATACACAGATTATCAGTGCTGTAGCCATGAATAGGTGTCCATCTCACACAGCAAGTAGAGTTTAACTGCGCTTTCTTTCAGTCTGTATGCAAATCTAATCTCATACATCAAACCAAGTATTATTGTCCTAACTCTTAATGTGCAAATATCTAACTCCTATAATCACTTTTCTTCTAGAGCACAATATCAGGCAGATTTTCCTCTAATTACTATCATAAGATGACGTGTACTAAGCAAGTCTTTTTTCCAGTGCTTGATTTCTATGGGTTACGGTGAGCAGCTGACCGAAGCCAGCTGAAAGATAATGAAGCAAGAGACTATTTCAAATATGAATTATGCAATTTATTTAAATTACTAAGGAAAAAGGATGATCTTCTGCCTAACTCTTTGGAAGGAGACACAGAACATCCTTCACTTTGTTTAACCTCAAGTTGTGCTCTCTGAATTCTCTGCAAGTGACTTGAGGAGGCTTTGCCCAGACTCTTCCTCCCCATTTTTCTATTCTCCATCTGAAATAGGAGTGACAAGGTGATCTTCCTGAAAACATTGGCCTCCAGCTCAGATGCCCACTGTGCAGGCCATGCTCTTCACCTGGCTGAACAACAGCTACCACAGGTTATCCCAGGCTACTGCTAGGGCTGTTAAATGCAGCCACAATAAACACCAAGTAGTTCAATAAAGGCTGCTCCCAGTTCTTTCAAGCTTACGGAGTCTGTTCTTGACACAACTCTATTACTATTATATAAATCTTTATTTATTTATGACAAACAAATAAATAAATTTACAATAAACATAAATTCATACGTGAATTAGTTTACTTTTCTTATGGACAAGCACTCTGCCCTATATGGCTCTCTTCAATATTACACCTCCAGAGTCAATTATAAGACCTTTATGTTTCCCTAGCAGGAAGGTTAAAATTCAATTCTCTTTTATTGCAGTTTGCAAATATAATATACTCTCCAGCTGGCTTGGAAAAGCTCTTCTGTTAAATTATCTTGTGCAACACTGCTTCTTAGTCACTGGTACCTCCCTACACAACAGCAGACTGAAAACCCCACACTTTCAGGGTATTTATTCGTCTGTTCCTTAAATGTGATAGTTATTTTACAACATATTTATTTTTTTATTGAAATGACTGCATAGACAGTTTGGGTGGTTTTTTGTTTGGATGATTTTTTTTTTTTTTCTTTTGAGTGGGGGCGCAACTGTGCTTTTAAATTTAAAACGTCTCCTAAAGGCTTTGAGTCAATGCTGTCATCCTTTGTGCCTCTCCCCAGTAAATCAGTTGCTCGGCTCTTTTTGTTTTCAGGGTTTAAAATACTGTTACTAGCAGAAAGTAAAGCGATGGGTTAGCATAGCAGAGTCTGCTCTGTTATTGAGCTGAGGCAAGGAGCCCAGAAAACTAGAGGAAAATGATCCATTGAAATCTATAATCCTTCCCCCTGACCTCACCATAGCTCCAGAACATGAGATTATTATACATGTTAACATAATTACTTATCTGCCCATGGCCACGGCTGGTGTCTACTGGAATGTTAAAAAGGTCCACACCTAATTACTGTGCTGACTCAATTATTTTTGTCCAACTCAAACTTCAAAGAAATCCATTATAGCTTATCCCCCAACCAAGGAAAGTAAATGGACTTATTGGAAGGATCGATATGCTCCAAAAGGGTGAGAGAGGAATAAAGAGGAGAATTTGAGTGCCTTTCTGTAGGGTCCTATAAAAGCTGAGATCCTTCAGTGTGAGTTAATTGTTTCTGCTCCCGATGCTGCAGCTCCTAAATTTGACTGGATTTTCCTGCACTTCTTACAACAAGGCTATCACCTGCCAATCCTGGCTGCTACACACCTGCGTCATTTTGCCTGATTTTCACTAGATACTCCTTGAGAAAGGAACTGTGTCTTTGCATTTTAAGAGTTAAGGCACGAGTGCCTCATACACAATTACTATACACATCAAACTTAAAATTCAAGGCACCTTTGTTGGTTCTTACTTTCTATGACTCAACAAATTTGTTACCTTGTGGTGCTAAACACAACTGTAAGTCCAAGAGAGAGAGAAAAAAATGTCATTTGTTTTTACTACAAGGATGTCTTCTCATTTCATAGAAATCCACTGACACTGATATACTGTGTGCTGATTTCCCCTCTCCTCCAAGATGTTATTTTTGTGAAAGTGCAAACCAGCACCTTTCCAGCAACATCTGTCAGCCAGGCAGACTGAGCATCTTTGGCATTTTCACAGGCAGAAATTACAGCACTGAAAACAGTAAGTACAGCACCAGTGATGCTGAGGGGTATTGTAGAAAGCTGCATTGATACAGAAATTCCAGAAAAAGCTGAAGTCCAACTAATATAACACTCTCAAAAGGAAAAATGTGACACGCTCTTTCTAGATGCCTGTCCTTCTCTGCCCTTTTTCTAAAGGATCCAATTATTATTCCCGCAAAATTTATTAGCCACGCTCTTTTCATGGCTGGGATTTCCTCGTGCTATCAGAAAGGATGATCAGCCTCTGGGGGTGCTCCAAGGCATTACTAAGGGGGTGAAAGCCAACCCTCACCAACGCAAAGCTGCTGCTGTTCTCACAGCGTCTTAATGTTCCCATCGGTGGCAAAGAAAATCTCCCCTGGCCACAAGCCTTGGGGGGGATGAGTGAATCAACACTTTACACAACACCTAACCTCAGGAAGTCTTAATTAAATCCTTGTTGTTTTATCTATTGGGGCACCTATGTGGAGAAATCATCACGGTTTTACCTGCAGGTCTGCAACGTATTTGTTTTCACAAGTTTACCACACGTGATTAGGCACAGTTAGCACTGGCAGGTCACAGGAGGCCTGGGTAACAGGAATACACAGCACCAGAATGGGTCTTTTCTCTTGAGAGTCCCTCTGAAGGTCACGGCTGGAGTGGGTGACAGTCTGGCTTCACAAATCTGCTCGTCCATACACCCCACTCGAGGGGGTTACAGGGAGAGCACGTGCAATTCCCCCACAGCTTCCCCGAGGCACAGCGTCACACATGTCACCGTAGTGAAAAAATTACGATTCCTAATAAGAAATTATTTATGTGGCTCTTGCCCTTTCTGCCTCTTAATTATCACCGCTCATTAATTCTACCCCATCAGCATGCTGTAGGACCAGCCCCCCACCATAGTGACAGACACTTCTGCAGAAAACGGACAAGGGTGACAGTCCCCCCTTCAAGACTAGAGCAGTGCTGGGAGTGCGTTAAATCTGGGATGTTAATCCGTGAAGTTTTAGGCTGCTACTTTTTGACTGCACCCTTTATGTAAGCAGGGCTGGTATAGTCCGTTTCAGAGCTAGGAAACCCCTCCCCTTCACTTCTACTTCTGAAAAATAGAAGATTAAGTTCAATTGAAAGAGTTTGTCGCTCGACGTTTAAAAATTCATTGGCTTGAATTCGTAATGTAAACTCGAGCTCTTGTCTGAAACATTAAAAATGTGAATCGGCTGTGAATCCGACTGCAAGTTACAGCATACAACTTGTGCTATAAAGAAGTGTAAGGCAAGATGAAGGCATCCCCAGCCCCTTTGCCTTTAAAATGCCATGGAAGCACAGAAGCTTTCAGCAGAACACCTTATCTGCTCCCGGGAGCTGTGACTCTTCATCCTTTCGTTATGAAGACCCAGGGGATTGCTTACTTAGCATACACCAGAGGCAATGGGTAGGGTGAGCAGCCACTGCAGCCAGAAAACCCCAGTACAGAGCAAAGGCAATTACCCTCCACATGCAGAGACATTGGAGCTGAATTGTGCTGAATAGAGAACCCCTCCGGCTGAGAGCCATGTGTGCTTGGGAAGAGCCGCCACTTTCGCTCCGCTGAAAAAACAATGCAGTAAGTGACTTGGATATTGCAGCAGGCACCGGTTCCCTGGGTTAATCAGGAGCTGAAGCCTTGCAGCTTTTGCTGGGAGAGACACAACCTCCAGTCCGGGAGCAGTGTCAGAGCTGCATGATTATTTTTTGTTGTTGTCATTGTTTCTAAATCAAGCGAAGGAATTGAGCCGACGTGCAGTGACACTAACTGTATCGTTTTGCGCTGTGTGGATGTGTGTGTATTGCAGGGCTGCGCTTGCTGTGTGGTCCTGTGCTGAACTAGGACTGTTAGGTTTGTAGCTTTTTTTTCCTATAGTCATGTCTGACAGTGTTTAAACCGAGAGAGTGCTTAATAACTTAATACCAGCATACATTTCTGTGCTCTTTCTTAAATATTTCCTATGCTTGGGTTGCGAACTGTTTGCTGTACTATCCCTCCAATGCTGGATTTACAGGGACTGTGCCTTTGGATAATGATAAATTGTAGATCGCAACCGTGTGAATGAGCGTGCCTCGATGGCAAATAACACTTTCATTTGACTTCAGCAGAAATGGCTAATTTCTTCAATGTGGTCTGAAATTGCAGATGCTTTTTTTAGAGATAAATGTTTATGAGCAGTACTTTTATCACAGCATTTCTTCAGATCTGAATGTTGTTTCTGTACTCTGCAGTAGGAGCTTTCTATTCGTACCGGGGAGGGAAAGCACGATTTAAAGTTTGGTTTATAAGAAGAGGGATTTTACTCTAGTTTGAAAGTGTTTGCAAAATTAGAGTTTGGGCAATAATTGCAGGCCTCTGGAAGAAGCTGCAGCATGTAAAGCAAGTTTGACTATGCAGATTTCGCTCTGTTAATTTAGGGACTAATATTAAGCTGCATTCCTCTGGTTTCTCAGTGACTTACAAGGCTCTGGCTTTAGAATAATTGCCTGCCTTGAGAATAACTGCCATTTTGGGCTCCAGGCACGTTTAACTCTTGAAGGCGATGCATGCTAAATTTTTAAGAGCAGTACATGGAAGTGCCAAAAGTCAGGGATTCTTCTCTTGCTGTCCAGTCAAATGTCAATATTAAATAGCCGTTGATCTCTTGTACAGGAGCACTAATGAAAGCAGTCTTTAATTTTCCGGCTCAATTTGTGTTTAAAAGTTGGGGTTTACTTAGTTATTGTAAACTATTGGGAAACATATAGGAAGTCTTTACATAATGAAGAAAAAAAAAATTTCCCCTTTGATTTATCTGTCATTTTAGTTCTGAGCAAAATTTGTAGGGTCACTTTATTAGAAGGGATAATTCTCAGAGATGAGACAGATGAAGATCAGGTTTTGTTGAAAGAGGTTTTTGCAGAGGTGCTGCTGAAGATGTGTGTAGTGTTTAGTCCTAGGTACAGCTAACGACATCAAGAAATACCCTGGAACTTATTGCACCTTTCCACTCACAAGCAACATGCGTGTCTTAGAGACTTTTCTCCTTGAGATTGATGCTCAGGTGCTGATAAGAGCTCTCTTCTCTGACACTGCAGTCAAAAGAAATTTCTCCTTTTTGCCTAAGAGAACCCTTGTGATATACGGCGCTACTGAGTTGCAACCATTAAGATAATGAGCAATTAATAAGTGATAATTATTCTTCATTAGTTGTGCAACTTTGAAGATGGACAAATCTACGAGGAGAGTGAATCGCCCCTGAATCTGATCTGCTCCCCTCTGCCCTTTCTCTACTACCCCGACCCCTCCCTTTCTGTTTATGAGCACTTGGTAGGTGTTGTAGTTGCTCTCGTTTAAGGAACCTAAGAGCACTGTAATTTTTTCAGTAACAGGTTCACAATCAGCGTGTATGTCATCTGTTCCTGTTTCCTCCACCTAGATATCCAGCAAAACAAATAAGGAATTTGGAACATATGAAGATTTATTACAAGATATCTCTGAATGAGCATTATAAACCTAGTACTGATTTCTATATCACAAGGAAATAGGAGGGGTTTTACCTGTAACTAGAGCGTACTCGGGACATGCAGTTTTGATGACATTATCATCAGATATTTTCAGGTAAAATAATTCTGGTAATTTAACAAGCTACTGTTTTCAAATTATTTTCTCTGAGGAACAAAATGGGGGAAGGAGAAGAAATGCAAATAAGAGTTCATATTGGAAAGATACGGGATTCATAATGAGAATCACAAGACAAAAAGTAGATGGGTTTATGCCTTCACGCAATTTTGGGTCTCTAATCAAAATGTGTTTCCTGAACTGGAACCTTAGAATTATTTGCCAGATGCTATTGCTCATGTCAGATTTAAGATGGAGAACATTAGGTGTAAAAATCTAATTTCTCAACAGTCTAAAGTATATTAATAAGCAAACATTTTTACTTCTTCATCCCATCCTTTAAGTAATCCTGGCAGGACCCTTGCCTCATAAGTCTAGTTCACTTGATTGCACTGAAATCTTAGAGAGATACACACAAGGGGAAGTTTACTAATTTTATCCTACATTGCCAGTAACGAATCGCAAGTCAATTTAATTTAATTAACAGTGGTTGCTCAACATTTGTAGTCGCCTAAACTACTTTAATTCACATCGCTACACCTCTAGCACTTTTTTACTCGTAGAAGCACTGGTGATCGTTTCCTCACAATATGAAACACGACTGCAACATCTTGTCATTTAAGTACCAGAGACAAAGCTTCCACTACAAAACTGTATAAAAGAATATACAGTGGGTGGATAAACATGCTCCGTAATTTCAAAGCACGGTGAAAATGAGTGTCATAGTTGCACCAGGGACCAATGGTGCGGACAATGTTACATTAAAAGAGATGACACTCAGCATATTCTCAAAGAGATAAGCTTAGCTGTATTCGCACAAGAGTAGAGAATTTTTGTACCATGCTCAGTAGAGCTGTCATGTTTACAAAGAAAAATATCTTATAGCTAGTGATGTCCAAAAGACGACACATACACAGTCAATACTTTCTTTCTGACTACAAAAGAAAGGACGTTTTCTTCCTTTCCTGTTATTCAAGGGTAGACTTCCTGATGGTGTCAACTACTTAGATATGCTGCATAATAATTATTTTATTCATATGTATGAAAGCAGATCTCTTAGAACCTTCATTATATTTATCTGCTGTGAGCATCAAGATTGAATTTAATTGGGACTTTCAGATGTATGCTTAGATGATCCGTTTTCAATAACAAAATGAATATGCTATTATTTGCTGCTTTCACTTCTTACCAAGGGCAATTGCTTAATACTCTCTAATAGCTACAATTCAGAACACTTTCTTTGCCACTCTTCATTTCCACACCCACACAAGCCCCAGAACCTACTGTGCGTAAAGCAGCAGTGCAGTGGTGTTCAAGGAGGATTAAAGGACTAAGATTCTTAAATATTGCTGCCTGAGCTGTTGTTTTAAACAGGAGCAAAACCAATGTACTCGCCTTTTCCAAGTGCTGCTCAAAAGGCATATCTATGCACCCCAAAACCATCCAGAATTATAAAGATAATGCTCTACATTTTGCAAAGTACCTTCAAAGTGCACCTGTAAGGCAGGTTGACCTCCAGAAGATGCAGAAGAACGGGTCCACAATTCTCCCACCTTCTGTATCCGTTCCCTTTAGGCAAGAATTCTGGCATCTGACTTCTTTGGAGGGTAATTCAATACACTGAACTTTAAAATAAGGCTGTGAAAGTATGTATCCTCATAAACTGGACGATCAGTGATAGACTGCAAATCAGATATCTGTTTTTCACTGAAACATCTGGAGGAAACTCCAAATGCTGTGTGCTCAGTGCTGAATCTTCAGGACTTAGTTCTTGGAATCTTTAATGATCTTTTCATCCCTTTTGAACATAAATATAAAGGAAACAGCATGTGAACTGAACCAGGGTTTGCTTGAGCAATGGCTGCAGAGACGCATACCTTTTCTCAGCATTATTTTAGCATTTAAAAATCTATTTCATCTAGCCCTGGCAAGATGAAGCCTCTGAGGGTCCTATCTACAGATACTCTGAATTCATAGTAGTCAGCCAGAGAGATTCCCAGACAGCAAGAACATCATATCCCCAGTGTCAGTCAGTACTTTGTTCGGAGGGAAAGATGAGGAAACGAGACAGAAGGTTGCTGAAAACACAGATGCTCACATTTCATCTGCTAGAAACAGAAAAAGGATTTATATCTTTTTATCATAAATCACAGGTTTTCCTCTTATTGCTTTGCTTTAGACTTTCAATCAGCGCTGATGGCTGTAAAGAACCACATGCTCAAGCAAATCTAAATTATCTGGTGAAAAAGACCCCCCCCTTTCTCTCCCTACCCCGTCTGATTGATTTCGTGATTACTAAAGAATTTTCTGCATCACACAGTTTGTGTTATAAAGCGGTCCAAAGTAGCTGATGTCACCCATCCAATTTTTGTTTCCATATTCAAATTCAAGCTCCCACTCCCTCTGTCAGTACTTGCTCGCTTTCAACAGTGATTTTTAAAAAGCCTGGTGGGAGCCATGAGCCAGAAGCCCCAGAGACTATGAAAAACAGCGGGATGGAAGAGGAAACCTTAACCCCCAACACAAAAGGGGCCAATTTGTGTCAGCAAGATCTTGTCAGGAAAGTGTCTGCCATTATTAAAAGTCCAAACAATGACAAATCACAACTACTCAAAGTCGGAAAACTTAAATAAACCGAACCCGAAAGAGACTGAATTCTGACAAATATAAGCATTGCATTCTTTTTGTCTTCCATTTTTGGGGATTCTTTAGGATTCATGCTTCACAACTTCCATCTACAAGGGTATGAGAACATTTTAGAAAAAATAGTTTAAAATCCTTGTATAGTAACCGCATCACCACATATGAAAATCGTACAAGTTTAAAAGTGAGATAACCCCTATGTTTAGAAGCACAATTTTACAAAACATTGCTTTTCTTTCTTTTTTTTTTTTTTTTTGTTGCAATTTCACATACCCGACTTTGTGTCTTACAGCCAGCGGAAATGTTTCCTAGGAAGAGAAATGGAAGGATTTTCT